TCTTCTCTGATCTAACCTTTTCCGACATGCAAGCATATATCCATGCAACAATTTGACAATAAAATCAGAGTAAGAAACCAAGTTCTCTCTCCCAGCTTCAAATAACGCCCCAATCAAACCTTAAAGAAATCCAATAATTATAGGCTGCCACCATGGCAGCCTATAAATTTGTCTTCACCACCACCGCCACCCTATCCATCCTCTCCGTCCTCTTCCGCCTCTCCGCCGCCGAGACCTACTTGTACGACAACAACCTAAAAGCCAAATTGTTTCCAAACGTTGAGATAACGTTAGCCAATGACTATGACCGCACCATATACTTCATGTGCAAGCACACAGATAAGGACAATACATTGCACCCGCTGAAGGCAACCGAGACATATCGCTTCAACTTCACACAAGTACGTAACTTATATTGTCGGGCTGATTTTTAGATTTTTGTGGTCCCGTAAATAAATGAGGCCCTATCGAAAGGGCAATCTTTAAAACCAATAGTTAAGCTGTGGAACCGTATTCACCATGCGCATGGTGAACACGGGATAGGTCCATGATTTCTAAGTTGTACATTCATAATTTTTGTATTGTACATTCATAATTTTTGTACTGCGAAGATGAAATAATGCGATTGCGAAGAGAGAAATGTCGTTAACAACAAATGAAAAATAAAATTATGAATTTACAGCATAGAAATTATGGATCTACCCATGTGTTCATCATGCGCATGGTGAACACGTTTCCAGAGCATAATTTGTGCTTTAAAACCAATAGAAACCAGTTTCTACCACTGGAGTCTTTTAGGATTAATTACAATTTTATTTTGTTTTAATGTCTGCTAGGTAAAAATTAAATATTGGGTCCTCTAAAATTTGGGGCCCTATTCTGTTGCACAACTTGCACAGCTCAAAATTCGCCCTGTATATTATTGCATTAAGAGATCCACAACAATAATAATGTTTGTTATAATATTTGTACGTTGTAATGTTCATCAATTTTAAGTTAGATGTTCATTATGCTTATAAGCAAAGTTCACTTCTGCAGGTGGCGTTTCCAATGAGGTGGTGCTTCTTATACATCAACTCGCATTCATTTGGGTTCCTTTGGGTGTACAACATGCGATCAAGGTGCACCAAATGTTTTTGGAGCATCACCAATTATCCAAACCTTTATAGGACGGATCGTGTGAGGTGGGAAAGGCAGAAGCTATTTATGCCTCCTACTTTCAAAATTGATAAGTTTTTGGTTCCGGATAATCCTTGGGTCTAGTTTCTAACTTCAAAATCAACTTGTTCACTACAATTCTACAAACTTTATTTATGTATGTTGTACGTAATGCTTCGCAAGGTGTACGTCTATTGTTTTCTTAAAAATGTTTGATTGATGGGGGCTAGTTTGTAACTTGAGCACATTATTATGGAATCAAATTCTTTATTTATTCATGCTACGCCTCTACAAAAGTATTCACTACATGACATGCTATTGTTGTATTATTATGTGGATTTACATTGTATTATTATGTCGATTTACATTACTAGCAACTAGGGGTGTAAATGAGCCGAGTCGCTCGCGAGTGGCTCGTGAGCGGTTCGGTCAACGCTTGGCTTGAGCTCAGTCAAAGTCGAGCTCGAGCGGCTCGATTAGTAAACAAGCTCGAGCTAAGCCTAGGTATTTTAGGCTCGTGGCTCATCGAGTCGCTCGCGTGTCGTATATATATATATATATATATATATATATATATATATATATATATATATATATATATATATATATATATATATATTATAATATATAAAAATCATTCCAAGAAATATTTCTTTCGACATCTAACTCAGGAAAGTAAGTTACTAAGTAATATACTTGTCTAACTATTTTTAATTACTTTATTTGTTATCTAATATTTTTCTGCAAGTTGAATAGATATTTCTTGTAATGACGTGCTTATCCCGGAAGAAATATCTATGCACAAGGAATCAAGAACCATTGTTGTTGACTTGTATTTATGTTGTTGACTTATGTCTTGTAGTTTGTTGTGATTTGCGAACTTATTTCGAGTGCTTTGAAGTTTGAACAATGTTGTTGACTGTCTTCTAGTTTGTTGCGAACTTATTTTGAGTGTTTTGATTTGAAGTTTGTATTATTTATGTAGGGATAAAACAAAGCAGCTTAAATTTTAAAGGGAAAATTGTAAAAAATGCTCATTTATAAATGTCAATTATCAATGTCACCCTTGAATTATGAGTGGTGTAAATGTTGCCCCTCAATTATCAAAATGGTGCACATATAACCCCTCCCGTAACCGACATGTGATTCCCCACCGCTGTCCATCGTTGGTACTTCGAATCGAGGGAGGGAAAAAACAACTAAATTACATATTTACTCGGACTTAATGGTGTCGTACACTATGGGGAACTACATGTCCGTTACGAGAGGGGCTATATGTGCACCGTTTTGATAATTGAGGGGCAACATTTACACCACTCATAATTCAGGGGTGACATTGATAATTGGCATATTGTAGAGGGGGATTTTTTACAATTTTCCCAATTTTAAATCAAACAGCTCAAATTCGAGGTCAAAATCGAGCATTCGAGCCTAATCTTGAGCTTGAATTCGAGCATGAACTCGAGATCGAGTTTGAGCCTGATCTCGAGCTCGAGTTCGAACCTAATCTCGAGTTTGAATTCGAGCTCAAGATCAAGCTTGAACTTGAGCTCAAGATCGAGTTCGAACTCGAGCTTGAACAATCGAGCTGCTCGAGTCGAGCTCGAGCAGCTTGACAATTGTCGAGCTCGAGCAGAGCTTCCTTAAACGAGCTTGAGCTCGGCTCGGCTTGTTTACACCTTACACCCCTACTAGCAAGATCAGACACCCCTACATAAGTCAATGTTGGAAAAAATAGCATAAAATGACATTTTAAGTGATATTTTGTGAATACAGCTATCAATGAGGTTCACTCCGATTTTGGTCGGATCAAAGTGGATTCAGGTTTTTCGTGGTGAGACGAAGAGACTGATATATTGTACACTCAAAACGGATATTTAGTGAATGAGAAATTGATTTTCAAAAACTTTAAAGAAATTTTTGTCTCACATTGGGAAAACTAGATATCAAAGGGAAAACTACTCTTGAAAACTATTTATAAAATATCAAAGGGAAAAGAACACAAAAGTGAAGGACAAACCAGATAAGGAAAGTAAATGTTAACACTTGAAAATCATTTTTAACTCTAAAAAACAATTGAAATCTTAACAATATATAATATAGCCATATGGTTTGGTGAGTAATTATTGTTACAATTATTTTTTTAAATGGTGATGATGATTAATAGTCATTTATATTTATAAATAATTGTTTGGTCTTTAAATGTCAATTGTATGTTGCTACATCTAGAGTTAGAAATCTCAATGGTCTAAAAATTTTGATCTGTTGTAACTCTAAAATTGTAATTCAATTACTATTGTAGTTTACTAAGTTCTTAAAAATTTGTAATATTAAATACTATGTACTAAATTTTTAATATAGTTTAAAATTTATAGTAATCACACACCTTAAATATTATTTTAATTGTAAATATATTTATGTTCATAATTTTATCATAAGAATTCACACATAATAATTATTAAATAATAAAAATTTTATATATGAATAAACTTCATATATGGTATATTTTTATAACATATTTTTCGTGCATCGCACGGGACAAATACTAGTAAATTAATAACCAACGAGAGAATTAATAATAAATGATCAAATAAAATAAAGAAGATAATGATCCCTTTTTTCCTAAGTTCTTTGTGGTCAGCCTAAAAATGTGAAGCCACCGTTTTGGATCTCTATGCCAATATTCATGTGACGTTGGTTTCAATATGCGTGTCGTTTGCAAGCGGCTACGAACAACACGTGGACTCACCCCCTCCTCCTCCGCTGCCACGTTTTCCTTCCGCAACTCTAAACTACACCTATCTAGCCTAGCTTCTTCATCAATCATCACCAAATTGCTCTTTATCCACGCATCTCCTAACTTCTATCCAACAATGATTTCATTTTTTTTCTTTTTAGACTGTGAACTTACCGGGCGTTTGGTTCACTGTAATTTAGCTGTAGTTGTCTAGTTGAATTGTAATTCAATAGATACCTCAATTATATTGTTTGGTTAGAGAGAATTGCAATTCAATGAATTTGATAAAGGAAAAACAAATGAAATGACATTACTAACATTGGTTAGTTGTTATTACTATTATTATTATTACACAAAGATATTTTAGTCTTTATACCACTTATTTCCTTCTCAATTTCAATAATTCTATTTCTCCCTAACAAACAACGTAATTTGAATTTTTACTTTATTCTCACCTTATTCTTTTCCCTCCTTATTCCTTCCTTCCAACCAAACACCCCTTAATGAAAAAAGTAAAATAAAATAAAATCAAAGAAGACCTAGACCTAACCATTTATCGTGTGTTTAGTTACATTGAGAAAATTACGGAGAAAAAAAAATACAATTCTATAAGAGAAAATTTGGTAGGGAAAATTTAAAATTTATTGTTTGATTAGAATAATTTTTAAAAATATTGTTTATATGGAATTTAAATATAATAAGTAACAGAAGTGTTATCATATTACCATCTATTTATTCTACTATATCTGTAATTATCCATTTAAAATAGTAATAAAGATATTATCACACTATTTTACTATTTAGTAGTTAGTATATCTACTTCTTTATTAACTACTAAATTTTAAAGATTATAGTATAATTAAATCGTCAAGACCTTATGATTTAATGGTATCTGGGTTGACAAGTTTGAACCTTAGTAGTAGCATTTAAAAAAAAAATGGTATAATTAAATCTTGTCACCTTCCCACCCGTATATCTATTTATTTTGCTAAAACAAAATTTTTTTTTTAAATTCATCTATACGAGAGTATTCTTCCACGTACTGCCTCTTATGCCACTATATATAGATCGCTCCATATCTATCGCTCTCATTCCACGTTCCACATACACTTCCACGGGCATTCTTATATATGTGTATATAAACACACACGTTACCATCGTACATACATATACATATTCCACGTCTCCCACGTTGTATGTATATATGTCACAGTCTCCAGCTCCCTTAGCTTGTGTTGAGTATTTCCTTTTTCAGCCTCTTTAAACACCATTTCCGCGGCCGTCGTCCTTCTTCTACCTAGCTCCGGCCACCACTCGATCAGTTTCTTGAACCCAATTAAGAAAGGAAGTTTAGTTTGTGTGTTTATAAAAATGGCGTCTAATAATGGTCAACAATTCCCACCCCAACAGCAGGATTCTCAGCCTGGAAAAGAGCATATCATGGATCCCCGTCCTCAATATTCTTCCCATGAATATAAGCCATCCAACAAGCTTCAAGTACCTCTTACTTTCGCATAAATCTTTCAATAATTTGAGCTTAAATATTGATAATCTAGCTGTTCAATAATGTTGGTTGTTGTAGGGGAAGATAGCGTTGGTGACGGGAGGCGACTCGGGGATCGGGCGGGCGGTGTGCCAGTGCTTCGCGTTGGAGGGCGCGACTGTGGCCTTCACTTACGTGAAACCGCAGGAGGATAAAGACGCAGAAGAGACGGTGGGAATTATAAAGAAAGCCAAAAGTGGGGACGCCAAAGACCCGATAGCGATAGCTGCGGACTTGGGGTTCGACGAGAATTGCAAGAAGGTGGTGGATGAAGTGGTGAGAGCCTATGGGCGGATTGATATTCTGGTGAACAATGCCGCGGAGCAATACGAGGCAAGCTCCGTGGAGGAGATCGATGAAGACAGGCTTTTGAGGGTGCTCAGGACCAATATCTGCTCTTACTTTTTCCTCACCAGGTATTTACTATATATAGGCTATGTTTGACAGAGCTTATTTAAGAACTTATAGTTTATTTTAAGCTACTAATAAGCTATAAACTCTATATATATGTTCTTAAAATAAACTCGTAGCTTCCTAATTTTTCAGACATGCGTTGAAGTATATGAAGGAAGGGAGCTCAATAATCAACACCACATCAATCAATGCCTACAAAGGACACGCAAAGCTGCTGGACTACACGGCCACAAAAGGTGCGATAGTGGCCTTCACCAGAGGGCTGGCATTGCAGCTGGTGAATAAAGGCATACGCGTCAACGGCGTTGCTCCGGGGCCGATATGGACGCCGTTGATCCCTGCTTCCTTCACCAAAGAAGAGTGTGCTAGTTTCGGTAAAGATGTGCCGATGCAGCGAGCCGCCCACCCCATTGAAGTCGCTCCCTCCTACGTTTTCCTCGCGGCTTCCCCCGACTCCTCTTATATCTCCGGCCAAGTCCTCCACCCTAATGGTAATATAATATTGCAATGCAACCTAGTTTTAACTGTTCTTGCTGGGACTCGAATATGTGACTTGATTTTAATAATACTATTTAAGATCAAACATTAATGTTGTAGCTTGTAGTGAAAGCATAATTTTATTTTTTAAAATATTTTTTATAGTTTGTGCTGAACTTGACTCTTTATTAGTCTCTGTCCAACAATCTTTCAAACTGAATTTAACAGTTACCGGCTTTCACCAAACAAATGATATGATTGATTGATTGGAATATAATGGTGAAAGCCTTTACCGGCTTCTACCCAACAAATGCAATTCTTCTCTCCATCTCTAACATATCATATGGATCTAGTGATTGAGTGGAATATAACGGTGAATGTTTTCACCATTATTAGTATTAGATGATCATTCTTTTATTTATTTGAATTTGAATGCATGCTATTGAAATTAAAGTGAGTCCATCATTTTTGTTTGCAGGTGGGGCGATAGTCAATGGCTAATTGAATGGTGGGAAGTTTGGAATGCAGTCTGTTTTCCAACGTTACATGTCCACTTTTTTGTTGTTGATAGTATATCTACAATATTATTTCAGTTGGCTAGCTGTTTTGTGTAATTCTCCGGCCGTATACCGGAACATAAGTGGTATCTCGTGTGAGGTTTCCTGTGTAATATATGTAAGCATGTTGGTGCACTACTTCCTACCGTTTCTCTCCGTAAACATAAAAAAATAAACTTTGTATATATATTGTACAAAATCTTTACAAAATCGGGTTACAGTATATGCATATAATTTAATATGCAGGTACAAAATTTCTATTAGTTTTTTGATTCTTCACTAATTTTATCTATTAAAGTATCCCTGGAATTCAAGTAGCGTAGTGTTCGAAATTCAAACAACGGGTTTAAGTGGTGTGATCTTCAACAACAAACGTCAAGTTTCTAGATAGTTAACTCTGCAGAGCTTCAAAGTACCTTCAGCTCTTCAACTCTTTAAATATTTCAATGCCTTCAAATCTTTAAATATTTCAATGCCTTCAAATGCTTCAAGCCTTCACGTACCTTCAAGCTCTTCAAAATTCAAATGCTCTCGATTTTCTTTATTCTTTATTGTTTAGTTTAGTGATTGGTAGAGTTTAGAGTAACTCCAAGTTTAGAAATGTCATCGTGTTTAGGAATGTCAAATGAATACACTATTTAAAGTGAAAAGTCTAACCACAATCCCTCAACAAATTTTCTATTTATTTATTAAATTAAATTAATTATCTGATAAAATGAATCTTGCACAAAATCAAGTCTAAGATCATTGTTCTATAATCTAATTTAAATTCAAATTAAATTATAATTATATAATTGAAATATAATATATTTAAATTATAATTATAATTTAAATATGAAATGAACATGGATCAATTAATTAATTAATTTAATAGTCCAAATTAAATTTAATTAGACTAATTAAATCAAGTCGTAATTAATTAAATTGGTCCAATAATCAATCTCAAAATTGACTCAATAACAATTTTACCAGTTCGTTTTTCGAGTTCAAATTTTATGTATCTACAAGTTGTCCCCTCAAGACTTGTCAGGATAAATTGCTTGATGCATTTGGAGCAAGGAAGTCGTCTTGAAACTTAACAAAGGGTCCTATAAATTCATCGCGATGCATCTAAACTCCATGGGACCAAATGTATGCCCGGATTAAAAGATTAAATTACAATTAAGGGACTAAAGATTAAATTCATCGTGGTTCATCTAAATTAATTAAAAGATTAAATTGCCACAAAATGAGTTCAATTATGTGCTGGGATATTCCATGGACAAATTATTGTGTGGACCATGAATATTAGGTACATTTTTAATATATTAAAAGTACACTAGTTTTGTACTAAAGGTACATTATTTTTGTACTGAAGGTACATTATATAAAATGATGTATCCTTAGTATATTAAAAATGTACTTTCAAAAAATGTACCTTATGTACATAAATAATGTACCCTTAGTATATTAAAAATGTACTTTTTATTTATGATCCATACAATTGTGTGGACCATGATCTATGTAATAATGATTGATTTTAATCACAAAAGATTAAAATGCATTTTAATTTTATGAACCTAATCCATAAGCCCAAATCCATGTGATCTTCTAGGCCGTGAGTATAGTCAGAGTCCTAAAACTTACATTGATAAACTTAACTCCAGTAGGAAGCTTGTTTTCAGTAGCATACCTTACCCTACTACCGCAGAAGTAGATTCCCAACCATACTAGGATGCATAGTTTCAGCTCAATTCCAACTAAAACACTATCCTATTGTGTGCTATAAATAGGAGCTTCAACACCCCAAACCCACACCAATCAATGAAACAGAGGATCATTCGCAGTCTGTTTTTTCTATCAACTTCGGAAGTAGAGCTTTGGGAGTTTTTTTTTTCTATCAGGTAAATTCTTTGCCCTTAATTTTTATCTTCTATCTTCTTCCAGATACATTCTATTGCAAGAATAGGAAAAGAACGTAAGAAACAACAAGGCATCGAGAAGCAATCCAGGGTAGCAAAACCAAAAGACGATTACCTGTCTCGTCGAAGTCGCCGGAGATCACCTGAGCTGTTGTGCTACTGCCTTCGCTGGAGTTCGTCGCAGAAGTCGCCGTTGGATCGCCGTCGCAGAGGTTCTGCTCCTGGAGACAGATTGAAGTTTGCCATTGGAGTCTTGTTTCTTAATCGTCGATGCCACCGAGTCCTTCGTCGTACAACTAGTGTTGCTGTGTAAATTGTGGATAAATGACAAGAATGTGTAGTCAAACTAGGAAATTTCCCAAAGTGTGTTGCCTTTTTTTTTTTTTGACGAAAATATGCAAAACTCACATACCACTTGCGTTTTTTGTTGTGGCCCGCCGTATTTTTTTTTTCGTTATTTACGTAAAACGCAAGACATGGTTGCGTTTACGTATTTGTATACGTAAAACGCATTTAGCAATTGTGTTTTCTGGATGATACGGTATAGGCAGAAAACGCAACTTAGTCTTGCGTTTTGCGTATAATACGCAAAACGCAAGAGCGAGTTGCGTTTTCTTGTTTTTTTTGTACCGGCAAATTTCCGGCGAAGTACGGCGAAGCACAAAACGCAATTACCACATGCGTTTTTATAATTTGGATAAAACGCAAACTGTAATTGCGCTCGTAATTTTTATAAATTTTCCGGCCAGTTTCCTGGGAGGAGAAAGTAACGTAAAACGCAACTGTCAGTTGCGTTGTGTATTGTTGAAGTAATTAGTATTAAAAATGGAGCATATGTTAACAATAGATGGGTTAGTGTAGTTGGTAGAACCTTTGGTTCATTATATGGTTTGTTAGGGTTCAAATCCTCTTAACTGCGTGTACATTTGTTATTTGACGTTATTCGAGTTTGACTATAAGTATTAATAAATGCGGTGATAACAATGAAAGATGTATAGCTTAGTTGGGTGAGCATGTGTTTGAATATGTTGTTGTCCAGGCCCATCTATATGTCAGGATTGTCAGCGTTTGATTTTTGGATTTATGTTGGTGTAGTATAAATATATAACAATGCGCAAATAGTAATAGAAGAAGTATTAGGTGAGTTGGGTTAACATTGGTTTGAAATAGTGTTTGTTGAAAGATCGATTCCTCGCACATGCGGAGAAACATGGTAATATGTTGAAATTGTAAATTTTTTAATGTGGTTGATGAAATGTAATGATTTTGATGTTGACAAAAGTGAAACGATTTAGTCTAGTATTTCATCTGAAATTTCGGTGAAGGCATGTTGTGTATTGTGAAATCTAATTTCCAAAAGTAATTTGACTATATCCGGCTATGTGACAATTTATATTTTTTCAACATTTTTTTACCCAAATAGTTTAACAGTTGATTATTAGTGGAATGTAGTTTTATTGGAATTGTATTGTTGACATAATTTCGTAGCCCTAAACACGAGGGTAAGGATATTGAATGTGTGTAACGAAAATTGTTTTTTGAACGGAAATCTGTCAAAAGCATTGTGTTTGAACTGGAAAAAAATATAATTGATATTGATCATAAATTCATACATTTACATTTGCATCTAGTGAATTCTAATTTCTCTACTGCAAACAAATATTGTCGTCCAAACGGTGGGGGGGGGGGGGGGGGGGGGGGCTGCCTCTTTGGAGTTTTGGGGGGGAGGTCCCCAATTGGTCCAATTGGCCAGTTGCAAGTCTAAGTTGCTCTGGTGTACTTCCTCTTTAGGTAGTACACGATCAACCTTCCTTGCTGACTGGGCAAGCCGGAGTGTAGATGGCTCGTCTAGGAAATATGGAGTGTGTGGATGACATTAATCATCCTTGGAGTAGAGCTCTACGGCGGCAATTATGGGCAGGCCCCTTAAACGGAAACCGAAATCGCGAAATTTAGTTGAAATTCTTTTGGCAATGGAGAAACCCTGGAATAAAATGTTGGTATGTAGTATTGGGCATGAGATAGTTGGTATGAAGAAAACAAACTTCCCATCTCGTATGCAATAGATAAAAGAAGTAAAGTTTAGTTGGAATAAAATATGGGGTTTTCATTGTGAATCCGCGAAATGTAGGAGGTGAATATATATAGGGAAGATATTTCGGGACCAAATAGTGTGAAAACGCAAGTGCGACATGCGTTTAGTCCTTTTGCCTTAATATGCAAGTCCAAGTTGCGTTTTTCGTATGTTGTACGATGATATGATAGTATGGGCCACCATGTGCTGATATGATAGTATAGGCCCATGTGATGATAGTACCATGTGATGGTTGAAAACGCAAGAACGTGTTGCGTTTTATAGCCATCATGTAAGCTATGGGCTGACGGATGAGAAGATGGATGAGAAGATGGGCTGACGGATTAGAAGATGGATGAGAAGATGGGCTGACAGATGATAAGATGAGAAGATGGGCTGACAGCTTGAAAACGCAATGCGTTGTTGCGTTTTATACTGCTGACAGGCCCAGGGTTGAAAACGCAACAACTTGTTGCGTTTTATACCTGACAGGCCATCCTATCAGGCCTTAGCCCTGGCCGATCAGAGTATAGGCCCAGGGTTAAAAACGCAACTACGTGTTGCGTTTTATACCCCCAGGCCATATGCACCATTTGCTTTTTTTTGTTTCTTTTTTTTGTTTAGTGAAGTGTTCGAAAAAAATGGGCGTCCGATTAATTATTTTTTACACTACAATATAAATACTGTAAATGAATAATGTTATATAAGGGAGTTAGTCATATGGTGGGTTAATGTTAGATGAGAATAAAGGTTGTGAGTAAAAGAAGTATAGAACAGGTATCATAACGTTGTTGATGTAACCGGATTGTTTTATTACTAAAAATCATTACATTGACATCGATAATTGATGGATTTCACCAAATTCATTATCAATAATATGGTAGTTGATTGACCATGGATAAATCTTCTCTACGTTACAGGCGATAGCAATTGGTAGCATGAGTATGACATGTTGGTTGACATTGAAGAACACAACACGGTCACAGCCATCTAACTGAAAATGATCATATATTTGCTCCCATTGTTCGTCAGTTCGAAATTCTACTTTTCAATTTTTCGACCTCAATTTTTTATTACTGTTATACGACAGTGAAGTTGAGTTGGACTTTAAGTGAGTTTCAACTAAATTTCGCGAATGGTGATTGGTATGGTGCTGGAACGTAACCCCGTAACCGAAGGAACAGTGAGGAAAAGAAAGCGACCAATGCCT